TTTGCCAGTTATTCCATAGAAATTTAATTTCGATAGTAAGATATACCATGGTCTCACAAAGCAAATTCAAATTTAGTAAACATAAAATTAAAGGCAATCCAATTATGAGCCCACATAAATATTAAAAATTTCACCTACATGTTATTTTACAATATGGAAACTTTTCTCTTAAATTCTAATGCTTTTTGTGTATGGCCGTAACATTCTGCTGTCTCTGCGTCAATAATGCTGAAGCTCAAGCTAGTGAAAACAGACTGCTGTGAGAGAATTTTGCTTGGATCCTCAAAAAGATCAGATCTCGCATTGCCAATCAGGTTTATAATGAGTTGAGTCCAAGTTTCCGAAAATCACCGTTGCCAGTGAGATGGGAAGGTATCCACATCTGTATCCCACCAGCTCTAGACAAAAGGGTATGGGGCTATGTCAGACTACAACAACACATTTGGAAACATTCACATACACAGCCACACTATGAGTAAATGTATAGTAACTCTGCTGTACGTTGAGATACAGCAGGGACATACGAAGGGGGACCCAAAAATAACCGGAAACGACCTGTTGAGCGTGCATGCTTTGTAGTTACGAGTTGTGCTGCTAGGTGGTGTTAGCTGGGGGTCTCCCGCGACTGTTAGTGAGCTGGCGTCAGTCTGAGTTAAGTGGTTTTGTCTGTGGTGCTCTGTTGTGTGCGTTCCTGTTTCAACCCTTTGGCAATTAGTGAGATGGCCGACCAGAAGGAATAAAGAGTGTGCGTGAAATTTTGCTTTCTGTTAGGGAAAACTGCACTTCACTCTTCAAGTCGCGGCAGACATTCACGCGGTTTTCTCTTTGGTCATCTTCGAGCAATTGAGGAACAAATTTTGCAGACACCCGTCTCATGTGCAAACCTTCGGTTAAAATTCGCTGGACCGTGCTCCATGAGATGTTCGTTTCCTCAGAAAGTTGGTCAATGGTCTTTCGACGATCTTCATCAATTTAACGCACACTCTTTGTTCCTTCTGGAAGGATGTAGTTCCTGAACTGTTTAACTGTATTAATGCAGTAAATTTTACCACAGTCAATGCACTAAACAGCTGAAACTTCAAAGTCCTCTAAGATGAGATGGGTGCAGATTTGAGGTATGACATTATGTAGTTTAGTAGATGGCTACTAACGTTTCAGAGAAACATCCTTCATAGAAAAATGGTATATTTGTCATGTGATAAAGTGTCCTTTGAATCTTTGAGCTTGGGGAAGAAATTAGGTATAAAGAAAGCAGTCTTCTGGGATCTGGCACCGTGTATATGTGGTGTTAACCGACGTTTCGGAGGAACGTATCGCCTCCATCTTCAGGGTAGAAGAAAAAATATAAGAAATCTGCAAGCTAAGAGACTGTGAGAACCGGTAAAAGCAGACTGTGTGGAAATATACACAGCTATGTGAGAGAAGAGAGGGTAGGAGGGAAGGGCAAGTATACAAGTGAAAGCAGTAGTGAGGCAGGGGTAGGGGAAGGGAGCTGGAACAAGCGTGGTTTTTGTGTAGGGGAGAGAAAGGCAAGGTTAAAGGCTGGGCACAACCCGTAAGCTGAAGGGGGGGTGGGGGTTCTTATGTTGGTTGGTCATCGCCTGTGTGGCCTTCTGGATCTGGCGTCATATCCCGGTGGGAGTTTTTTAAGAGAACAGATGAGAGGTTTCCAAGACTTGCTGAGACAAAACCCCCCCTCTCTGTTCATATTTCCTGGATGCAGTTCAATCTCAATTGCCTCCCTAATGATGCGATCCATATAGCGGGTCTTGGTGGCGAGGATGGAGGTATTCTGAAGCTGAATGCGGTGTCCCAGATCGATGCTGTGTTCAGCTACGGCTGACTTGTCCGGTTGTTCGAGACGGATGTGCCGCTGATGCTCCTTCAACCTCATGTCCATGGAGCGGCCTGTCTGCCCAATATAGACCTTCCCGCACTCGCATGGGATACTGTATACACCCGGTGTCCTTAGGCCCAGGCTGTCTTTAACCGGCCGGAGGAAATTGGATAATTTGTATGGAGGCAGATCCACTGCTTTGGTGTTGTGTCGGGACAGCACTCTGCTGATACGGTTGAATATGGTCCCGACATAGGGAAGGAAGGCGACTGAGCCCGGTTTGTCTTCAGGCCGGCTGATGTTGGGCCGACGGTTGAGAACTCTGTGGATCTGACGGTTGTTGTATCCGTTCTTCTTGAATACGTCCTTCAGGAGCACCAACTCCGCATGTAGGCTGTCTTGATCACACAGTGCTCTAGCCCTGTGCACCAATGTGGAAAGTGCAGCTTGCTTGTTGGAAGGGTGGTGGTGGGACGCAGCGTTAAGGTACAGGTTAGTATGGGTGGATTTGCGGTACACTCTATGGCCCAGGGAACCGTCGGGTCTCCTGTAAATATCTATATCCAGGAAGGGGAGGTGGCCTTCAGTTTCAGTTTCCATTGTGAACTGGATGCACTGGTTGATACTATTTATGTGGTTCAGGAAGTCCTGGAGCTTGTCGGGACCGTGTGACCAGATGACGAAGGTGTCGTCCACGTAGCGAAACCAGCAGCGGGGCTTGTGTGGGGCCAAGTCAAGTGCCCTCTCCTCGAAGTCCTCCATATAGAGGTTAGAGATGACCGGAGAGAGTGGCGAGCCCATCGCCACGCCATCAGTTTGTTCATAGAACTGGCCATTGAAGGTGAAGTATGAGGTGGTCAGGACATGGCGGAAGAGTCTCAAGATGTTTTCTTAGAAATGTCGTCCTAGCAGATCCATCGTATCTTTTATAGACACCCTGGTGAAGAGTGACACTACATCGAAACTGACCATTATGTCGTGGGGATCAACATGGAGAGAGTCCAATGTGTGGACAAATTCCATGGAGTTCCTCACATGGCGTGGACTGTTGCCAGTGTATGTCCTCAGTAGGCCAGCCAAGTGTTTGGCCAGGCGATAGGTGGGAGAGCCACTGGTGCTCACAATGGGCCTTTGTCTCAGCAAGTCTTGGAAACCTCTCATCCATTCTCTTAAAAAACCCCCACCGGGATATGACGCCAGATCCAGAAGACCACACAGGCGATGACCAACCAACATAACAACCCCAACCCCCCTCAGCTTACGGGTTGTGCCCAGCCTTTAACCTTGCCTTTCTCTCCCCTACACAAAAACCACGCTTGTCCCAGCTCCCTTCCCCTACCCCTCCCTCACTACTGCTTTCACTTGTATACTTGCCCTTTGCCCCTACCCTCTCTTCTCTCACATAGCTGTGTATATTTCCACACAGTCTGCTTTTACCGGTTCTCACAGTCTCTTGGCTTGCAGATTTCTTATATTTTTTCTTCTACCCTGAAGATGGAGGCGATACGTTCCTCCGAAACGTCGGTTAACACCACATATACACGGTGCCAAATCCCAGAAGACTGCTTTCTTCATAGTCACCGCCATGAAAGCCTCAAATCTTACAAATTAGGTATATCTTGCTTTAAAAGCTAGCATAACTGTTTAACAATAATGGACTACAAACTGGTTTATATGGCAGACATATTTGTACTTCTAAATAAACTGAATCTGCACTTGCAAGGTCTGTCCACCTATCATCCATGAGAGAAACTTCCAAATAAAAGTTGCTAGTTTGAAAGAAAAGAGTTAATTAGGGAATATTTTTTATGCCTAATCTCTCTGGTGGCATCAGGAAACACATTGTGGCATAATTAACATTGCTAAACTTTGCTCACACTTGGATAAACTTGAGGAAAAATTGAATAAATATTGTAACATGTTGCACAACGGAGAACCCCTCCCTACCCAACTGCAACATGGCAACTCAGGCCACAAGCGCGTGGCAGTAACGTAGCGCTCCCTCCCACCCCTCCGCGGTGACATAACGCGCAACGCTACGTACCCGTAATCAACTTCCTACTGTGACGTGGCACTCATTACGCAACAGGCAAGCACTGCAGCTATATAAGTGAGCTGCACAGCAGCTACCAGTCAGTTCTACTGTAGCAGTCGGCGACTTCAGCTGTACTGAAGACATTTCCGAGTTGTACTGTGAGAGCCGCACAGTTGAAACATAGCAGCCTGCGAGTGTGCGATAACTAAGAAGTCAGCCAGTCAGTGCGTTACCAACGAGTTCTCAGTTCGCAAGTTACGAGCTACAGACACGTGTGCGATAACCAGTGATAACCAGTTATATCTGGAGTGTGTAATTCAGGGAGACTTGTATAGCTCCCGCGTTATTAATACGTGAAGACTCTTGAAGATAGTGTTAAGAGATTTTGTTGTAGGGTTTGTAAAGTGTGGAAACCTGTAATATTGTGATAATTAATTGTAGCCGTTATTTGAAGATTGTTAAATAAACCAATTAACCATCTCTACGGCGTCTTCAGTAACGAAACACGTTACAATATCTTTCATTTAGAACTGATTCCTGAATAGGATTTTTGAGGGTATGTGATTGTTAATTTGATCTCAATGAAATGAATAAGTTGTCACTTTCAGTTCCTGAACAGAAGAGTTTGCCTTTGGTTACATTCTGCTTGAAAGTGACAACAGAATAAGAACAATTGAGGAGAATGGCTGTCACAAGAATCATCAGCATTTTCTTCCATACAGCTTTCTGAACATTATTTTCCTTCTGTGACAACCATAAAATGAAGAAATCATCTTCACCTTTCTTCTTTCTGCATTATTTATTTTGCAACACTGCTAGTAGTTCAGGCTATACTGAATCATCAGATGATTAATGAATGATGAATTGCGAAGATGTGTAAGGAATAGGTCGTGGTGTATCTCCAAGTTGTATCCGAATGTTTGCCTGGACGGCTTGAAGAAAGTCATGACCAAGACTCAAACTGAGCACTTTCTAAATACAAATCAGGAGCATTACCACTTCAGTCAACCTACTCAATTTCTTCAACTCAAAGCACATCTTCAAGCACCCATTTCAAACATTACCACAAGGAATGACATGCTTATCATTAATGTTGTACTCAAGTCCATTAATGATTAATATAGTATTAAAATGTATCCAATTGTAAAAATACACTTTCTGCAAAAAGGAGACCATTGTCACTGTAGTGGAACTGTGGGACTGACAAGTGGGATGCAAAATATTACAGGCTGAGAATCTCTCTATTATGCACAATTTCTATCCAGATATGAGATACTGTACAACACAGAAATGTTACCAAATCTTTAAGTCTCCTGGGATTCTGTTGTATAGCCACTATCTCCATGGAAAACCTCTTCTTGAGAAACTAATAGTTGCTCAGCTGCTCAAGAAATTCCCTGCCTTTTATGGAACCCAAAGGTTCATTACCAATACCACAAGAACCTTCAGGCTTTTTTGGCCATCTTATGTGTGCATGCAGGGCTCTATTTGATAAAAGTGTACTCTTCCATTTAATTTCATATAATTAAATCATTAAAATTTTCTCTTCCAGGGATAGATATTTCAAATGGCTGTGCAGTAGTCACCTAAACACAAGGTGAGGTTCATTTCCTGGCCTGACAATCTGTAAAACAACCGAAATCTTCGTTCCAGGGTGGTTTGAGTTTTCCACCATGTTAAAAAAATAAAACCATCCCAGTGGTCTGATATTTTTGACACCACAGAATACTGAAACAAAATCATGAACGTGCAGCATCATGTAAACTTCAAAATCACACAGGAAACTTGATACAGTCAACATTTTGTATTATGCAGTCAAGTAGATTCTGTTTGGTCTCTCAGCGAGGTTTGTTACTGTATTAACTGAAAGCAGTTAATTATGATGATATATAAACTTCTCTTTGGGAAAAATAAAAAAGGTTATCAAAAGAATGAAGATGATGTTCCACTGGTGTGTGTTTGGTATAAATGTAAACATAAAATAATGTGACAGCTTTCTAACCAGTAACCAGTCTTAATAAATGCCAAAAATCTGAAGAGAATGGCAACAAATAATACAGACTTGGCACAGCCATGCCAAGGAAAAGGTGTAACAGTGTAAGTATTTACTACATAAAATAATTTTTCATATTACTTGCTTTCTTTCAATATGCTTCTGATTGTATGGGTTTAGATTTAAATCTCATTCTGTATTTGAATATATATGATATATCTAAGATGAATATGAAATGATCTTGATGAACATGACAACCACTAACTACGTCCATGACAGTTCAGGTAACTCGATCATGCTGAGTATATACTGGCATACACAGAATATGGTTATGCAATGATGTTGACAGTTTGTCAGTAATTATGGTCACAAAGGTATTTTAAGAATCACTGGCTTTCACAACAATCAACAGACTGAGGGGGAACCACTATCTGCAGCAAATAGTTTGATGTGGGCTGGGTTCCAGTACAGCCCGGAAGACTGGCACACCAAAGACCATACATATGGGATAAAGAAATCCTCTGGCTGATCTTCTTCCACGTACTTGAACTTCAGGTCTGGGAATTTCTACAACAGACCAAACAATTCTCACTCAAAAACTGGCCTGTTCTAAAATTTTACGTTTTATAAGCTACATGGTGTTTCATTAACTGCACCAATTATCATCAAGGCTGTCAGCTCCCACACCAGAAGGCCTTACTGGCAAGAAAAGTTCATCTATACCATTTGTTATTTCTGCGTGTATTAAACCTTTATATGATGAAAGAATTGTTCAATCAGATTTTGAAATGAGAAATCTAATTTATTTCATTATCTTGGATCAGTGACAGTGACTGTTTCTGTTCATACAGAACAGCCATTCCATACCATATTTACCTTAACTCACCCTCCGCATGCTATCTCATTTTAAGGGAAAATAATTCTACTACTTATCCAGATAAAATCAGCAGGGTTATAAGGAGAAATTGTTCTGTCCTTCCATTCTTGCACACTGGCCTAAGAAATGGTGTCTTCATTTGTTGTTACATAGTTATTACTGTCTTGTGCACTAAATAAATAACAAGTACCAATTTAATATTGGTGTCATATGCAGTGCACAAAAATTAACTCTTGAACACTTCTAACAAAACAGAGCTCTTAAAATGAATAGCAGCAATTATGTATAGGTATCTACTATTATCACACATATTCCTTAAATCAGTATGTTGTGGTTCATCCATGAAAATAGTACTTGGTACTAAATAAGAGCAAAAGAACTCAATATTAATATATTTCAAAGACTCAGCTGTGTCTCACCCTGAGCCTCTCCTTTGGCCATTGAAGGGCTCCATGCTGGATAGTGGTCAGGACTTCACCTACACTTAAGTCCTTCTGCACTTGATCCAGCCGGTTTGAGAAGTACAGGATCACCTACAAACATCACCATCTTCAGACTGCTGCTAATATATGCATGCACAGCAAAATGAAGAGGTTACAGGTAAAGTCACAGTATCCTCCTTGAGAGACTGCAAACACTTTACCTGACCAGCTGGCATTCTGTCTGTGATTCAAACCACTTACCTTCTAAATAAAAAAGCAAGAGTACATACCGCTATGTCACATTACTTAATTACAAGGAAAGTAACCTGAAGAAGGGAAGACTCGTGCCCATCAGTATGTGTGTGTCTGTTAATAATCAGTTAACAAATCAGCCAATCTACCTGATACTCCATACAGCACTGTGCCTTTGGAGGTAACACCACTACTATTTTCCAACAAAGAGAAGGCAAGACAGTTACCAAGGCCCTGACCATGTAGAGCTGAAGCTGAACACATCAGCACCATTCTTAGATTCATTCATTCATTTCCTTTATTTTCCATATATCCATACAGGTAACAAACCTAGGATGTGGAAATGGTCCCTTTGAAATTAGATAGACCAAGATACATACACAAAATTACACAAGTCACATAATCAAAATCACTTACATTAATCGATTAACATAAATAATATTATCAAATAAAAAATTTAATAAAATAACACAGGTCTGCAAAAATATTTTTTTTTCAGCTGCATGGAATATTTTTGGTAAACTTTGTTTTCTAGGATGCTGAATCCAAAAATGAACCCCCTATCATGTACGGTTTTTTGGAAAATAATATGGGTTTACAATAAAAAATCACTAATTTTATTACATTGAACTAAACATATTATTTCTCATAATTAAACAAACAATTCCTTCATGATATATTTAACATTCTGTGTTCAGTCTTTTTGCCTGTGAAACCTTTCTTCTCTTTGATGCTCCTCCAAACACGCTTTTGCTTTCAATTTTCCGTTTCCCGCTTGATNACCAGTAAAAACTCCCTCTTTCACCTTGGCTTCAGACAGTTTTGGGAACTTGGAACACAAATATGTGAAACATTCTCCATCTTTTGGCAGTGATTTTACAAACTGCTTCATGAGCCCTAATTTAATATGAAGAGGTGGCAATAAAACCTTTTCAGGTGGAACCAAGGTCGTATTAATTACGTTTTTTTCACCGGGGATTAAGGCATCTCGAAGTGGCCAGTCAGTTTTTGTCCAATGGAGGTCTCTGGCTCGACTATCCCACAGGCATAAGAAGCAGGGATGTTTTGTATAACCTGCCTGCTGGCCCAACAACATGGTTAATATTTTGAAGTCTCCACAAACCAGCCATTGATGTTCTTGATAGTTGACTTTCTCAAGAATCACAGCCAAATCGTTATAGTTTTCTTCCAAATGCACCGAGTGTCCCATAGGAATTAATGCAAATGTATTTCCGTTATTCAGCAAGACTACTTTGAGGCTTGTTTTAGATGAATCAATGAAAATGTGCCACTCAGATGGATCATATTCTATTTCAAAGCATTTCATGAGCCCTTGAACATCATTACAAAAAACGAGATTTCCCTCTTTGGAGAAAAACTGAGTGAATTCCTTCTCTCGGTGCCTGTACCACGAGAATGATGTTCCAAGTGACAGCTAGTTTTTATTTTTTAGTCTTGACCCTAGCAATTCGGCTGCATCTTTGGAAAGGCCTAAATCTCTAACTAAGTCATTGAGCTCATTCTGAGAAAAAGGTTGGGGTCCCTCATCAACAGAAAAATCTGAGCTGCATTCATCCTGGGGTGTTACTATAGTTCCGTCCTCCGAATAAATCTGTATATCATCCAAACTGGAAGGTGGGAGGGGAACTGGTATTTCAGAGCTATGAGGCACTGGACGAATAGCTGAATTAAGGTTTGGGTAAGATATTTTCTTTTTATTTTTTGTATTAAAGCCTTTCACATCTACCAAACAGAAATAACAATCAGTCGTGTGGTTTTGCTGTTCACACCATATCATAGGAATGCCAAAACGACATGAGTTCTTCTTACCCTTAAACCACAAACAAAGATCTTCCTCGCACCTTCTGCACACCTTGTGAGGAGCCCAGGGTTTGTCTTGATCCCCAAGTTTCAATTTGAAATAAGCAAAATACATTTTCTTCACAAAATCACTTATGTTTCTTTGTTGACTTTTAACTATGTATTCACCACAAATAAAACAAAAGTTGTCCGGAGAAATAACACAACCTCTTTGAGCCATAATACAGAGCTAAAACACAAGCACAGTGGACGTTTGAATGCAGGATGTAAACCGAGTGGCTTATACATCAACCAAGATCCTGAACTTATTTAGCATGTTGAGACATGATCAAATCTGACAGCAGGCTTGTTTATACTCATTCCTATTGCCCCAAAGATCATGTCCAAACATGCTCAACCAAGTTAGTAA